CCTCTTTCCTATAATTTTATAACCTCACTTTTCTCTCGCACTTCACTGCACTCTTTACTTTTCTCATCTCACCACTACTACTTCAACACTGTTTTTCTGTCCTCTTGTTATTCGTTTTTCCGCTCACTATCACCTTCTTTTATCATCTACCTTATTCTCTACTCGCTACTTTTTATCTTTTACGCGTACCGTTCCCTTTTTACTGATACGACCTCACTAATCTCACTTTATCCTTTCAATTTCTTATATTTTTTTACTTTACACTTTTTCCTCTGCTATTTCTCAACTTTCTACACTTATTCGTACTTTTTTTTTCTTTTTTTTTTGTTATAATACCTTCCTAATATTCTATTCTCCGGAGTGCTCACTCGACACGTCCGCTCTCTCTCGCATCCACAACGGAACTTAAGAACCATGTATATTTGCCATAATGAAAAACTACATGGCTTTTGTTTCAAATATCCATATGGATGAACCGTATGGAAGTGCGTAAACCATATGGAAGTAGGAGACCATATGGAAGTAGGTAAACCATTTGGAAGTTGATAAGCCATATAAGCAGATCTCGATTCTTAATGGTTTGCCAATAGTACGAGATATCAGAATTTTTAATAGACAATTTTGCAATTAATCGCCATTCTAGAATTTCGCGATCGGACTTGGCTTTTAATGTTAACCACACTTATGTATGTAATATATTCAATTTTCAGCTAATTTTAACTAATTTAACATGTATTTTGATGCATTTTTAATATCTTGGTTTTTGCCGGACGTATGAAAAAATTGTGAAAGACCAATGCATCTACACATCGTGGACCAAAAAAAACTTTCGTTATAGTAATTCGAAAAACATATTTTTACATTTTTTTTAAATGAAATTATAAATAATATTGTAAACGATGATTTTGTGAATCATAAATCATGTTGCATCAAGTAGGTAAATAAACAAAAGAACATTATAATTTATTTGTATGCATTCTATTTACACGTAAATGTATTATTCTATCTGTTCATTTACAAAGACATGCTAATGCGTAACTACTATTACGTATACGGACTTATATGTAGCATATTGTAATAACACTGTTGGACATACAATTCTTGCACTTTATAAGCATTATACTTATTATGTTGCAACACAATTAGATTAAATAAAGTTATTTATTACGCAAGTATTATTTATTTTTTCTTTGTTACCTCTGACCACAAGTTATACACTTTATCACAACTGACTTAATAGTCAAATTCTAATTCTATCTGTATTTATTATTTCAACATACTTCAGTATCTAATATTTTGAAATTGTGTTTGATAACGTATGACTTTTTTCATATTATTGTGAATAGTAAACCTTGTGAAAAATCTGCAAGCTTATTACTTTTCAACACATCAAGTTAACATTTATGCTGAAATAGTAAATCATGTAGTCAGTTGAACTTGCAAAGATAAAGAAATTAACACTTAAGGATTGCATGTTTCGTCTTTGACGCATCTCATTACTAATCTTTTACTTCATTAAAATTTACTAAATAATAATAGTCTAGATTCAGTCATACTTTATACAAATGCGATAGCGTACATTGAATTTTTTTTAGTGTGTTACACAATATGAAGAATTATAATTATGATGTTCAGTATACTTAGAGTTTCCACTAGTATTATACGAGATTGGAAAAACCATTGTTTTATTCCTTTGAAATTCAATGAACATAAAATAATCGTCTCAGTTCAAAAAGTCAACAAAAAGGCAGCATGAAATTGCTCCAGTTATTCGGTGTATCCTAATTTCTAATACCTTATATTTATTTACGTTATATCAGCAGCAGAATATTTTTCTCCCGTGCATATGAATTATTATACTGGAATATCACAATTCTTGAAATTTACTGACTTCCACATGGCTTATCAACTTCCATATGGTTTACCTACTTCCATATAGTCTCCTACTTCCATATGGTTTACCTACTTCCATATGGTTTACGCACTTCCATATAGTATATCCATATGGATATTTGAAACAAAATCCATATGGAAAAACTACACGTGGTAAATGTATATGGTTTTTTCCAATAGAGTAGTTGTCTATTTGTGTTATTATTAATTAAAGTTATAAAAATCATTTCAGAAAACTCACGTTGGTATCTGTTATGTTCTCGATCAAGCACCACTATTCTCTCCTGAAGAGGCTGTCAGCAGGACAGCGAATTATTGATTTGTGTAATTGATTATGTAAATAAATAGTTATGCTTCTTAATACCAAGTTCTGGTTCTCAATATTATTTATGATGACAAAAGAGCAAGTGAAAGAAATGCAGAGATAATTATAACTTCCTAATCATTGTTTTGAAATATAATTGAAAAATTTATATAAATATCACTATCAGATTTATAAGCACCCTCAATTTCCTCTCAAAACTTTTTGACAACTCACTTTCTACACTAGTCCACTTGTCCTGCTCTAACCACGTTTCTACTAACACTATTATATCAAAACCACTCAAGTACTTCGATTTTAAATTTTGTTATTTCAAGAGTAAATATGTTCGTTATGAGAAGTGAATATAACATTATTTATTGGAAAGTTAATATCTTTATGAAATTTTTTACAAGAAATTGTTTTAATAATTTTCAAATTTATGCCTCAAATAACATCAGACATTAAAAACCATGCAAAAATTTTTCTCAATTGGTATCGCAGCTTAACGTTACATGTTTCTTTGGAAATATGAATTTGGGAATCGTGTTCCACTAAACTGAAAGCAATACCTAACTGAAAGCTATACGAACATCAAAGAGGCAGATTAGTGGCATTGTTTATATTGTATTCTGTGAGTGTGGAACCTGTTAAATTGGTCAAAGCAAAAGAAAACTAAACATTCGCTTAAGTGAACATGTAAGATCAGTTAAGAAATATGATCGTAGATCTACAATAGCCTTACATTCTAACGAATTTTAGCACTCTTTTGATTTTAATAAAGTTTGAATATTGGATCGAAAAAGGAATGCATTCAGGAGGGAATTCTCTGAAATGATCTTTATTACAACTTACGATAATAATGTTAATCGACAGCTTGATACCAAAAAGTTAAGTCCTATATCGAAGAAGTTCTTGCTTGATGTTAAACAAAAATTTATGCAAGCGTTTTTATTGTTAGTTAGTTACTACTGCATAATTTGATTTTTTCCATCTCATTTTTTATGTATTACTTGTATATCTCATCTTTTTCCATGTTTCTTTACATCCTCTCTCTTTGGTCCCTTACCTAGTATTAAACCTCTATAGCTTCTTTCTTTATGTTTTGGCCTTTTTCTGACTTACAATGAAAATTTTATTCTTATTAATGTATGTACAAATTATGCAGTTCTGCTGTTCGGCGTGTCATTATGCATTAGCTATGTGTGACTGATTTTTATTGCGCGCCCCGTGTGACGTAAACGCGTATCATCCTAGCACTTATATTGATGTTGTATATTTTTTAATTTGATGATACATTTCTTTTTACCAATATTTTTTTTTTAAATATGTATATATTTTTAGAAGAGGACATATGCAGGATGTCGAAATATTGGCTTTTGTAGATCCTCTCCTAAAAGAATGAGTGTCACGTGATTGTCAACAGAATACGCCGTGATCTGATTGGTCGTGCGAGACGAAAGGCGGTAAATTTAAATGTACATATGAGATTAATTAGACAAGTGCTGGCTGATCGAGGTCGTTTTATTTGTTTGAGCTTAGATTGATTTTTAAAATTTAATCATTCAATTTAGATGAAATAATTATTAGAAATATGTTGAATCAAAAAAGTTTGGGGGGTTGGCGAGTGGAGCGCGCAGGACTCGAAGCTTCCTCATTGTTACTCAAATACAATCATGCTCTATTTGCAATACCATTATCTTCAAAGAGACTGTAAAATATGTTCTGCTCCATCATTGCCATTTAAAATTAGTTTTCAAAAAAACACGCCAAGTTCTCAGGAAATACTATATTAAGTCGACCTATTGTTAAATTATTTTGAACTTTTGAGATACGTGAAAGAAGTAATACTGAATGTGTGCTAAATGTAGGACAAGCTCCAGAGGTTATCAATGAATAATTGCGACTTTAAGATTCATCTGGACCAAAGTTCTGATAGCTAAGATGGTTAAGGTTTGTGCTGCTACTCACATTGTTTTTCCATCGAAGGATCGATTCCAACTGTCAGCAGATTTTTTTTATTTATTTTTTTCTTATGCGATTCATCATTCTGTTTGATTTATTTTTATTTTTGTTTTATTTAAATTTATAAATAATGTTACAAACACTTTTTTTCTGTACGTCAAAAGAAATATATTTTAAATACTAATTCTATTGAATAATTTGGTAAATTAATACTTTTTGTGAGCAAGGCCATTTCGTGATCTTATAATAATAAAATAATCTTTTAAGATATAAGTATAATCCTTACATTTTAAGACTCCCAAGACATTATTAACACCCAACGTAAGAGAGAAAAAATCCTTAATTTAATTTTAATCATAAAATTTTGATTCTAGACCAAAGTTTTAATTAGCGTATGTAGATATCAAAACTTAATACTTCCGAAAATTATGCAACAAAAATCTGAACAGTAATGAAAAGCAGATCTTATCGATCGAGATTGATTCTATAATTAGCAGTTAAATCTTTTTTCTTGCGTACTACTATAAATAAGAGCTACTCAGCGAACCTTCATTATTGGTCTTTATTATTCAGGCAAATTATCAGCGTCCATCTACTGCGCATTACTGCATGTACAAATTTTTATCAGTCCAAACATTCAATAAACACAATATAAAATATTTTTGTGAAATTTTTAAATTGTTTGAATTTCCAATTAAGTATACAACTTAGTTTTAATTTCAGACTGCAAAAAAAATAATAAAATAGCATTTCGACCAATAATTAAATAACATCAGTTGGCAAGTTTCTAAGGCATAAAGATTTTTTGAAAATATCTTATTTATTTGTTAATATAAAAAGGATGCCCGCGCAAGCAGTGCGAGTATCGATGGAGGGATTGGAGTTGTTTGATGATTTGGCTGATATCACTAATGATTTAGATGATTTACTACTTGAAAAGGATATACTGGTCATAAACAAAACGTTGGACTCGGATTCTGTCAGTAATAGGAATCAGAACGTTCTTTCGGCGGAACTCTTACTTACGTCTGATGGCGATATTCAGACTCGTCTCAATGACCACGTGAGAGATATAATTTTGAAAAAAATTGATCCAACCTACCACTTATCATCTGTAAGTTTCTGTACTTTCCTTGTGGTAAACAATTGTTATACTGATATTGTATCTATATGTATTTACACTTTTCAGGATAAAGTTTCTCAAGAAGCTTATATATCATGTGTTACTGCTGATGCAGTCTATGTGCAATTAGCTTCCAAAGGAAAAAAGCAATTAGACGAATTAATTAAAAACGTTGCCAAAGAATTTCTAGACAATGTTTACTTCAAACCCCGACCTGTCTTGAGTCTCAATCCTTCCAAATTGTATATGGCCAAGAGTGTAGCAGATAAACTCTGGCACAGAGTAAAACTGATCGAAATTATTAATGATAATGAAGCGCGGGCTTTTTGCGTCGATGAAGGTAACGAAATGACTGTTAAAAAGACTGAATTGGTTTCTTTAGAGGATCTTCCAGAACTGTTGAGTCTGTTCCCGCATCAGGTATGTGTTTTTAAAAAAATGAGTTACTTCAATTTCTTGAGTTTTTCTCAAAGTACAACTANAGAAGTATCAACTTACCAAATTATTTAATAGAATTATTATTAAAAATGTTTTTATTTCTACGTATATAAAAAAAGGGGCTTGTAACATTATTTATGACTTTGAACAAAATATAAATAAAAAGAAATTAAACCAGAATGATGAATCATTTAAAAAAATTAATCAATTAGTAAAAAAAATTTGCCGACAGTTAGAATCGATCCACAGATGGCAAAACAATGCGAGTAGAAGCACAAATCGTTACCATATTATCTTTCGGAACTTTGGTCGAGATGAATCTTCAAGTCGGTTGCAGTCAAAAGAGAAAACTAGTATTGTCGCTTGCTTTGGCTGTTCGCTTGGCTATATAGCTATAGTCGACATTTCCATTTCTCTCCTCGTAGACATACATTCAGTATTACTTCTTTCACGTGTCTTGAGAATGTGCGTCTATATGCTCATTTCCACGTGAATCCACTTTTCTACTCGTAGGCGCACGCTGTTTGATACGACTCTGGCACTCTCGAAAAATGTGCGCCCGGTTTGACGCCGACATTGGGCCGTGGCAGGTTGCCCCGATCAGTGCCAAAAAGTCGTCTCGTATCGTAGCATTGGCTTTAGCAATCTCTCTATTTATCTCTGCTGTATGGTAGTAAATTAAAGGAAATACTTAAATGGCAATTATTTTTGATATTTTATTCTATATTACAATAATTCTTTCTCTTTTGCATTTAAGTGTCAATGTGCGTAAAGAAAAATTCTATTTATACTTCGAAAATTCAATGTTAAATTTGGTACCTGACACCGACATCTCTTATAAAAAATTCAAAAATTTTTTTGTTCAGTCACTTTTACACATATGACAACTTTACTTCTGTAAAAAAAAAATCGTTATCCAAAGTAGCTTGTTTCATACTTTTTTGTTTTTTGTTTCAAACATTTTTATTGTTACCTGTTCGCTTTAATGCGATTGCAGCAGATGATAGAAAAAAATGCCAAATTTGATCAATCAGAAAGGCGTTATTTTCCATCATGACAACGTTAGACTATACATATCTTTATTATCACATTATCTTTGGTGGCTTAACATAAATTGAGAGTGCTTGGCTGGAAAATTTTAATGCATACACCGTACAATCCAGACCTTGCCCCGTTCAACTACTGCTTAAAAATCATCGATCAAAATGGCACATATATCGTTGATTAGTGTTTAAAGTTAATATGAATAAATTCGCTTTGCAAGACATTTTAAAACCAAAAATTACTTTTTCTTTAACTCAATATACACTGTTATGAGGTGTGTGTGAAGCAGAAGGACAAAGCGGAAGCTTTTATTTTGACTGGGCATTTGTTGCCTGGATACCCTTGGCGACATCCCCTTGTAGTGTAAAACACGCGGGTCTCGTTTGTCAAGACACCCCTGGGACTAGGGATCGTGGCTAACGTCATTATCACCTCTCTCGAAAACTTTCGTACTGGACACACAGTGGGAAAAACAGGGTATAAAAAAATAAGCACGTGCGAGTAATATTTGAAACAAAAGAAACGTACATTTAAAAAAATTAGAATACAACCATTTTATTTCCGGGTTTAGGTGCGTGTGTACGTGTGTGTGCACGCCGAGCAAAGGAGCTTGACCAGATGGCGGTGCAAAATCGCGATATGGGCCAACCTACACGGGCTAATCGAAATTTGTTGCCCTTTACAAAAACTACCTGGTGGCAGGTACTTACGATCACTGCGGACGCTGTTCCTCTTGGTCCTTGAGGAGGGCATGGGCTCAGGTCAGTAGACGTTCCTGCTAACAAGGTCGGATTAATCGTTTGACACTGCTCGTCGTCACGCTGATTTTAAGTTACTTGGTGGCTGATCGTCTCTGGAGCATTCAAAGATATCGATTCGCTTACTTTGATGTTACCTGCCTTCCCAGCAGCAACAAAAACAACACCAAAAGCTTCTAGGCAGTTGCACAAAAACGCGAAAATCGAGGAAGCCACACGAAAAACTCAATAGTTATAGTTTTTATGAGAGGTTGTTATTTCTTTATTATTTGTAATTTGGAACAATAATTATTAAATTTGCTCGTTTCTAAAAGCAACTATTAACATTCAATTCTAGAAAAAAGAACAAAAAAACAACGAAATGGTTATTGAATCAGTTTTTTATCATGATAATGCTCCGACTATTCCTTCTAAAAACAAAAAGTATTCAACAAAATTGCTCCCCTTCCTTAACTATCAATTTATTTCTTGAAAGTTTTCGTATAGATAGAACACGTTAAGAGTATTATCTTATATTCTCAAAGCTTCTTGTGTAATCATAGATGACTTATACCATACAATTCCATCCACTTCTTTTTTTTATTCTGATCTTTTTAAAATATCTTTACTATATTTTAAATCTACAGATAAACAAATAGTTTCCAATATCTTATTTATTTGTTAATATAAAAAGGAAACTATAACTTACTAGGGTGTTGCAGAATGATAATTATTTTATTCTTCAAATTTAAGCATTAAGAGCGGTGTTACTTATTAATTTATATTTTAAACGATTTTAATGGATAACTCGAAGATATGTTTATAATCTGAAGATTATGATTATTGTATAAATAAATAAAAATATTAATTAGAATAGCTTAATCGTTTTTTTCAAAAAAACACGCATTATAAATTATTGAAAATTATGTATAAGCTTAAGACTTTTATTTTTTTGAAATTCATAATGTAGGTTGCAAGTGGTTGTAACCACAAGGTGTAAATTATAAGGAATATAAATACAATCCAGAGAACGTAATATATGTATGCAGACAAATATTCTTGTATAATTGGATGAATGTCCTACTTTGCTGGTTGTGATTATGTTTGATATTATTGTAATAAAGGTAAGTTTTCTTGTGACTGCGGATTTTCGTGACTGTTCAGATTTTTGTTGCATAATTTTTGAAGGTATTTAGTTTCGATATCTGCATACACTAATTAAAACTTTGGTCTAGAATCAATATTTTATAATTNTTTGCTCGTTTCTAAAAGCAACTATTAACATTCAATTCTAGAAAAAAGAACAAAAAAACAACGAAATGGTTATTGAATCAGTTTTTTATCATGATAATGCTCCGACTATTCCTTCTAAAAACAAAAAGTATTCAACAAAATTGCTCCCCTTCCTTAACTATCAATTTATTTCTTGAAAGTTTTCGTATAGATAGAACACGTTAAGAGTATTATCTTATATTCTCAAAGCTTCTTGTGTAATCATAGATGACTTATACCATACAATTCCATCCACTTCTTTTTTTTATTCTGATCTTTTTAAAATATCTTTACTATATTTTAAATCTACAGATAAACAAATAGTTTCCTTGTTGATCACACTTTTTTAAATATAAAAGTATGCTATGCCAGTCCAAGCCATGGTTACATTTTTTTCTTAAGAAATCAGAAAATAATTTCAGATTTTATGTAAAAATACTTTTGCCTGATCATACAGGTCTGTCTATAATTAAAGTTTTGTGGTTTTGTTTGCATGTAATATTAAAAATATTTTTTTAAGATACTGTTACATTAAACAATACACAAAATTTGATTTATAGAATTTGATGGAAGAAACAAGTCAAAACAAGCAAATCAAAATTAAAGCTTGCAAAACTAGACAAGTTTTCACAGGACTCCCATCCCACTTGTCGTGTTGATCAGACATGGAAGCCAGACATAGACGAAAAAACCCACCCACTATCGCAAGGATGTTGTTTTGATCCTCAAAGAGAATAAATTTGCCTTGTAGTTTGGCCGTGACTTCTTCGCTTGCATGCTCCTTACCCACTTCGAATGCTTTCGCATATAATTTTGACATAACTTTGAAGTGTTATTTGCTTGTTGTTTGCCTAGGTGTTTCTTACCTAAAATTTTTCGACATGCAGTCACCGAGTGATAAGTACATCAAAACGTGGAGAAAGAGCAATGCAATGGAGAAAAACACACCATTACACGCACGAAGAAATAAAATTTTCGAATATTTATTTGTATCTTACACTCAATACTTTAAAGAAAGAAAAAATAAAAAAATTATTAAATAAAAAAAAGCTTTCCTTGAGAATTAAATCAGTGATTTTCTTTACAATAGCTGAGCACCCTATCCACTGTACTACGAGCGACCCTTATTATAGATTAATCTCTTTCTCCTTGCTTTAGTGGGGTTTGTAACTTATCTCTAATTTCAATATTAATTCACCATTCATTAATTAATTAGTTGGTTATACATTGTATCACGTAATAAATTGTTTATGCAATTAACTATTCATTTTCGTATAAATAAATAGTACTTTCCAAAAATTAATGTTTTTTCACGTTACCTGATCCTTCGACGTGTGAGTGTTATAAATCAGTTATGTATAAACTATTGACGGTAAAGCCAAATCCAGTTTCTTTCTATTTTAATTTTTATAATATAAATTCTCAAACAATAGATTACCATGATAAGATTGGTATATGGATATTACTGAATAAATAATTTTTTTGTAACATTACGATCTCTCTTTCTTCGAGTATAACCCGATTAGTTAGTGGTAGTTAAAAACGGCTAAGAGTTTTATCTGTACCGAGGAAACTCAAAGATTAAAAACATATACACAATTGATGCCTGTGATTATAATTCATCACTTTAGCGCTAGTGTCGTTTAATAAATGTATTTTAAATGGGATTTGGGTATCGAAGTTTTAATTTTTACCCTTTGTGCACGGAGCAAATAGGCTTTAATGAGACTTTGTACTTTAATGCTATCTCATAAAAATCTCTTATTTTGAAAATTCATAGTACACTTTTATTGAAAGAAGATCAGATTGATTGTGCCGTTTACTCCTTATCATTTTCTCTCATACAAAAAAATTTATTTGTGCTGTTTGATTAGTAATATATGAAACTAAATACCTTTAAAAATGTTCTGTAATTTTTTCGAAGCATATTATTAACACATTAAAGAATGCAAAAGTAATGGCGAGTTTAACACAAGTGCATTAGACGTAATCGAGAGAGCGGATGCTTTTGGGCTAGGTTATGACATCAGACACTATCACCGCGCCTCATGCACATACACGTGCTTCCCTTGCCCTCCCCATGGAAGCAATCCAACTCCCTGAAAGTAAATGTGAAAAGTCATGTCTATAGGTGTATATTAGAATTTTTATTTGAAGTGCATTTTTTTTAAATTTCTTTCTATATAATATTTTTAATTTGCAAAGAACTTTTTTTAACTTGTACGAATATGAAATATTCATTTTTGAAACTTGACAAAGCTATGTATATAATTAGCTGAAAGAAAATACTAGTTTTCTTAAGTATAAACCAACAATATCAACTTAGATTATATCAATTTTTTTCTCTAGTCATTATTTCCTCTTATATCTTGTATTTCAAAGATTTAGTAGATCCTAATCAAGTACCATTACATAAGTCATCTGATATACTCAAATTTCAGTTAAGCATTACTATTGTAGTTATTTTTAAACTGAGTTTATGGAGTGGTAAACATTTACGAATACTATTTAACAAATCTATTAGAAAATTGATCTGAATAACATTGTCTGACTTATCAACTCCTTAATACGTTGCGTTATCTTTTCTGTACCAGGTTTCAGTTCCTTCCGTTAAATTTTAAAGAATTTTTTCATTTAAGAATTTGGTATTTTAGAACATGGATTATTTCATATCCATTTTTCATTATAGAAACAAATACTGATTTGAAAATTAAAAATTTCAAATATCTATGTCAATAATAATTTAATAGGTCTTTAAATAATGATAATTTTATCACTGTTCTTTGTAAATGGAAAAATTTTAACTAAATTTCCTTACAAAATAATGAATTTATTTTCGAAATATATTTTCATATTACAAATATCTTCTGAATTTCAGTCAAGTATGTCTAAGGCTTTTTTTTGAGTCATTAAAGCTCCATTCTAAGTAATCGAATCATCTTCTCGTAATTACTTGTTACATGAGTTAAACAGTTATTTACTAAAAGATATTTCTCTATCCATAAGATTTTGAGTTTCTTTAATTCGCTTCGGTAGAGGTAGATTAAAACATTTATATAATTTATCTTCTAGTTTCAAAATTTAGTAAATATATAAAAGAACGTGATTATTTGTATTGTCAACAAAATCTTCTTAAATATTTTCCGGAATTATAAACCATAAAAAATTTTTTTAGCTAATTAAGAATCCTAGAAGTAATTGCTTTTTATAAAGTGTTATCGATTTGAGAATCATGATCGATTAAACCCATTATGGTTGCCGTATTTTTGAACGCCCGGTTTTTAATTTCTTCACATGTTTTAATAACTTCAAAGTATGTTGCACCATTTGTTCTATTTAAAATAAGTTGAAAAAAAACAGTTCATGATTCTTTGAAAACATTTTTTTTTTAATCTACCTATTGCCATAATTTTTGTTACATTTTCTCTTTTTTCAAAAATTGTTGGTTTGATATTAAAAATGTAATATTTTGAAATGTTTGAATATGTAAAATAATCATGTTTGCTGGAGTACATCCAAGCTGTTAGTTGCGTTTCATAGTCTTATACTATGTTTAAAATTATGTTTATCAACAAAAACTTAAAGTTGGGCAGCTAAATTTAAAACTGTATGACCTCTAGCACAAACTGTAAATTCTTGTAGTCCACAAGCTGCTTTTATTAAATCTGCGTATCTAGCATCAATACAACGATTTATTTATCTCTATAATAACATTTTATCTTTTGTCCAAGTTTTGTTAATATGTTTATCAGATATATTATTAGTTCTTTTATACGGTGGGTAATCGTTTGTTTAGAATGTATTTTAAAGTGTAGTTCGTTTGTGAAAGGTTTTGGGTAATTTTTTTCATACTTTTGATCAGAATAAAACATACGAGAACTGTGTTTTATATAAGGACCGAGAATCATGTGTTCAGTGACTAATTTAGTAAGTTCCGCATCACCTAAAAAAATAGTACCAACAACAAGTGTACTAATTTGTTTAAGTATATTTTTCAACAGGTTGTAGCGTTATTAAAATGTGGGCATGAGGTAGACCACATTTCTTAAATTCAATGGTATAGACGTATGCTAACACTTTATTGCCAAACTGTAATATTTAAAATATAATTTAGTTTAATGTTATTAAAAATTTGGAGAAAACTTGCTATAGATATACATAGCAGTACGAAGAAACTTCTTATTTTTTCTTTCGTTTAAAAATTTTAAGAAATATTTAATGCTCTTTTACTTATTGCATCTAATAACCCTTAATGAAATTCAGTTCTTAAACTTTTTTGATTGTATCTTAAAGTATTAAAATGGATGTATTTAATCAGAATATAAGAAACTATAAAAAATTGTTGATCCAATCGTCCCTCATATCATAACCAACTAACATTCTTGTAAGCTGATCTTGTAATTTGAAAAAAAATACTAACCTTCCGATCATTAAAATAAGAGAGTTTACTTACAAATATTTCTTTGGAATAGTTAATTAGTAATTCTTGAGGGTATTAACATACTTCAAAATTGTTCAAATGTCTCTTGTTTCAAACTATAATAGCATTACACCCTGCTAATAATGATTTATTATATGTATGTTTTTGAGACCATTTTTTTGTAAAAAAATTATTTTATAATTTGGTAGTTTTATCCATGTACGCCATGTAATTTTAATGTTTGTACTTTTTGGCTATTCAATTTTTATTTATAATCTTTGTCGAAGTTTCAATATGCTCTTTGATAAACTTACAGTTTTTATTCAAAATCAATCTGCTTGATGTATCGCATAATGGGGCTGTGTTGTGTTTTACGGGATGTAAAAAGAATGACTTACACAAACAGCTATATTAGATAGGTATATATATATATAAATATATGTTCATCAATAGGTGACTTATGTGGACAATCACATGTATGTAAGGATTATTATGAGGACAAAAGTGGAATTATGCGGACTTCCGCATATATTTATAAACATATATACATGTATGTATGCATGAATGTGTATGTATTTTATTCACACATGTGTACATACATGTATGACTCCCACATGTATCAATACATATCAGGGTCCGTTAAGATCAGTACGGTCTCCGTCAGGTTTTCTTAAAATGGTGTGAGAGTTGGAGCGGTAGGGAGTTGGAAAAACATCGGGATCTGTTGATTATATAAATAATATTTAATTAGCTTATTTAAAAAAAGGTTTTCTACATAAGTTACATGTAATAAATTTAATTCGATTTAACGATAAGAAAATTTTTTGTCTTATCGAAGTTAGATGCTAAAGTAGATTTAAAATGAAATAAAGTGTTTACATATGTAAATAAAGTGTGTACACGTTTATGTATTCATAAATATACGGTACGTATTCTTACGTGTATATGTCATGGTCCGTAAAGATCGGTAGTTCAGATCAAGAAAAAATGTGTGGGGGTCAGCGAGGGATCTGTGGGTGGTGGTTACAGGTTTTGATTAGAATCGTAATGTGTCAAAATAACAGAGAAACTAACGAAATTTCACCTTCTTTTAACCACGTGAGTGGGTGATAGGGGATCTGTGGTGAATCTGTGGAAGGGTTGTGTGGATCGCCCCATATAGTTAACTATATAGTATAGAAACGTATATATATATATGTATATTACTATATCATATCGTTGTTTCGTGTGGGGAGTCATGATTCCCCCCACGACCCCCACAGCCCCCCATATCCCCGCAAAAAAAACTTTGTTATAAATGGCCCCCCACGAAATAAAGTAAAATTCTATCGTTTTATATGTGATTTTAGCATAGTTAAAATATTCTAGCCCCACATTTAGCCCCTCCACGCCCCCCTCACAGCCCCGACAGTTTTGTTTGCCCTCCCCGGATTTTTTCCCCCCTACAGCCCTCTACACTTTTTTAACGTGCCTAGCATAAGAATAAAAGTTATGCATATAATTATTGTAAACATATTATAACAACTTAGTTCAACTTGTATCACTCAACGGATCAAAACCAAAGACTTCTTAACAGAATACAATATTCAACAACTGTATTATTCTGTGAATAAACTTATAATAAAACTACCGAAGAGGCTTACAGACACTTTACATATAATAAATAAATGATCTCGACTTTTATTTTGTACGCGTTGAAGAGAGGACATATCCGTACTAGAGTGGCAAAGAAAAGTGATTAATAAAGAATAAGTTAGTGTTAAGTAATAAAATAAGGGTGCACAGAGTTGTAGACAGTAAGAAAGAGTAGTGTAAGTGGAAAATTAAAGAGAAATTAAAGTAGTGATGATGGATGGAGTGAGATTAGTAATTAAAAGTTAGAACAGAAATGTGCGAAAACGCGTGCAGCGAGGCAGTAGAAAATAAGAAGATTTGCCTTTAAAGAACTGCAAGTAAGTAAGGAGCAAAAAGTAAAAGAAGTAAAAAAGTGAAAAAATGACTGTGAAAGTCAAAAAACCGAGAAAACAGTGGACAGGCAAAAAAGTGAAAAAGTGATGTTAGAAAGGAGAGAAAGAAGAAGAGAGGTCACGTCGCAAAGAAAGGTGGATAAAGAAGTTGCGCGGTAGATAAAGAAGACCTCTACGTGGACAACAGTGAATAGTTCAAGAAGATATATAATAAGATAGTAGAAAGGAACGTACAACAAATGGGATAACCTCAGAAATATAGATATCTGATAAAGTAGGTCTCGTTGTTGTAGACAGTTGGTAAGGAAAATACCGAAATTAACTAGGGTCGGTATATTTGGCCCTTCTATATCAACAGAAGTGTCGATAAAGCAGATTTTGCATATCACTGACAAGTCAGAAATTACCTAAAAATTACAACGAAGGTGGGAGTAAGTGTAAACACAAGGAGGAAAGTACAGACTACCCTGAATTTTCAGAAAAACGATAAAGAAAAAGAGAATGATGGCAGCTTAAGCAGAATGGAAAAGCGATTAGAAAGCATACTCAAAGTGTCAGTCAGATTAGAAAGTAGAGACAAAAAATAGAGAGAAGAAAGAACTAAATGGGATGAAGAGAAACAGGAATGGGTGGAACAGAGGAAATCGCTAGAAAGGAGAGTTAGTAGATTTAAATGGGAAGAAAGAAAAAGGTTAAAGAGAAAAAAGAAAAAAGAATATAGTAATAAAACGGGTATCTATTGAAAAAGACAATTTAGAAAGGAAAGTGAAAGAATATATTGCACAGAAACTAAACGTCAAGGTTAAGGTAGAGAAGGCTAATAAAATAGTTAATAATAATGGAAGAAGATAGAGGAAATTAGTAATAGTAGAACTAGAAAACAAGAAAATAAAAGATGGAGTTATGGTGAAAAAAAAGAAGCTAAAAAACGGATATATATTAAAAATGATCTGACTGGAAAAGAAAAGAAAATTGAGAAAATGATACGGGATGAATTCAAAAAGGAGAGAAACGAAGGAAAAATCACAAAAGTGGGTTACATGAAAATAATAATCAACGAGCAATGGTTCAGATATAACGAGTGGAGCGGCAAATTTACGGAAGATAGGAGAAGATTCAAGAAAATAAAACAAAAAAGTCACGAGAATGATGGGTGCAAAAAAAGAAACAGGTGGAGGGAAGGTGTAGGTGTAATATAAGTGTATATGTTTGGAATATAGCAAGTATATTAAATAAGGACAGTGAGGTGGGGAATTATCTAAGAAACTTTGACATGATAGTGTTGGTGGAAACGTGGTTGGAAAAGAATAAATGGTCAGATCTAGAAAGTAAGATGTCGAGAAAGTTCGAACGGAATTTCGTATGAGTGGTAAGAGAACATAAAAAAGGTAAAGCAAATTAAAGAATAATTACAGGACTAAACAAAAAGATGGAGAGCAAGAAATTTGAAGTATGGGATAAAAATAAGATAATACAACAGATTAAATATGGAAAACAGGAGTGGGATATTGTTAGAGCATACAGCTAAAAGGTAACAGAAATTATGAAAATCATAAAAAAGAATATTGGAGAGCAAGATGTTGGAAATGTATTTTTAGTATGAGATTGGACCGTGAGAACAGGAAGAAAAGCAGGATGGATTAACAAGACGGACTGGGAGAGAAAAGTAGTAGAAATAAGGAAATCCAAGAATGGAACAGTAAATGAGGAAGGAAAAAAACTGATAAAAGAAATTCCAGAAGGATGGGGAATAGTAAATGAAAAAAAAGGGAAAGAAGGAGAGCTCACATATGTTGGCAGCAGAGGCGAAATAATAATTGATTAAATAATAGGAAATCGAAAGGCTTTTGGTAAAATTAAACTGATGAAAATCGGACAAAAAACGGAGTCAGATCACCTACTGATGGAAGTATATTTAGAGAAAGAAATAGAAACAGCTGAAGAGGAGGAAAAGAATGAGGAAAGAGAAGCACCGAGAGAACAGTCTTAAAAAATGATTAATCAGTTCCAAGAAAGATGCAAGGATTGAAAGATAAACGGAAAAGAAGTAAATAAAAAGTGGTGGAAAGATCAGTGCCTAAGGTTAAAAAACAGAGAAAAGCATGAAAATTGGGAGAAAAGAGATGGTATGACAAAGAATGGAAAGCTAAGAAAAAAGAGTTAAGGAAAACAGTCAAACTATGGAGGAAACAGAAAGTGGAAAGATCATATTTCAGAAGCAAAAAAAGAGAATATGGAAATTTGTGTGAAGCAAAAAGGATAAGGCTGCAAATAAATAAAGAGGAAAAATTGAGAAAAGCAACATCGAAAAGAGAAGTGTCAAAGTATGTAAACAAATTTAAGAAAAGAAAAGAAGGAAAACATAAGAATATAAAAACGCAGGATTGCAGATCACATTTTATATATATTTTATATATTCTATTTATTAAAAAGTCGGATGGTAAGAAAGTAGGAGTAATGGCTCTAGAAAAATCAAGAAAAAAAGAGAGGACTTTGAATGAAAGCACAGAAGAGAAAAGAGAATTTAGTCGAGAAGAATTTAGAATATAGATCAACAAGTTGAAACTGAGGAGAGCACCAGGAGAAGATAAGCTGAAAAATGAGGTCTGGAAATATATGCCACAAAAGCTAGGCACAGCCGTATGGGAGTTGATAAAAGAAGTATGGAAAGAACGAGAGATGCCGGATCAATCGAAAACTGAAGTTATTTGTCCAATATATTAAAAAAGGAGATAAGAGTAAGCTGGATAATTACAGAGGAGTAATTATTTACACGACATATAAGATTTACGCTAGTATCCTAAATAGATTAATAAAGAAAGAAATTAAACAAAATTTACCTGAAAGTCAGTTTGAATTTAGAGAAGGGAGAGAAGTAATAGAAGCAATTTACACATTGAATCAAATAATAGAAGAAAGATTAAGCACGCCCAATTTTGTTTAATGTATACTTGGCAGACCCGGAGGAAGAGCTGAGAAAAGGACAAGTGGGAAGATGAAGTATAGGAAATGAAAAAGTGTGGTGCCTCTCGTATGCAGAAGACATTGTGCTAATAGTGGACAGGGAAGAGAAATTGAAGGAAGTATTAAAAAGATTTAAAAAGTATATTGGAAAGAAGAAGAAGATCTTAAGTGATACAAAAACCAAAATCATGGTGTTTGAAGAAATAAAGAAGAAAAACAGAGTATAGAAGTGAAGAGAAAAAGATTTAGAAGAAGTAGACGAAACAAGATCTCTTGGATATATTCTACAGAAGAGTGGCACCAGTGAAAGACACATGGAAGAGAGGAAGAGAAAAGCAATAATTGCTATGAAGAGTGCATGGAGTATAGGTGAGAGAATATTGAAAAACCGTTATAATAGGAGGAAGAAACTTTTTACAGCACTTGTGAAAAGCGTAGCACTATTTGAAGAAGAGATATGGGGGTGGGAAGAAGGTGAGAGGCTAGAAAGTGTGCAAAGAAGACACCTAAAGTGGAGACTAGGATTATATAGTAACACCCCAAATTACATAGTGGAGGAGAAGTGTAAAATTAAGAAGCTAAAAATGAAAGCATTAAAATGAGCCCTTAAGTTTAAAGAAAAAATCAGGGACCAAAAAATAAAATTAGTGAAAAAAGGTACAAGAGAAAAAGATAAAGACAAGGTAAGAATGAATACAGAAAGAGGATCAAAGAAAAGACTAAAAATTTTAAAAGAAGAAAATGTAAAAGAAACAAGATACATGAAAGGAGTAGAATTTAAGGAGGAAATAAGAGAAAAAATAACGGCTAGCAAAGAACAGAAAGAAAAAGAAAAAAGAATGGAGAAAATATAAAATTCAAGATACAACAAAACAGAGGAAGAACCAGAGTACCTTAACAAAGGATGTGACAAGTAAAGATAGGAAGCTGATTGCAAGATTTAAATTCGGAAATAAGTGTAAAGGAAAACAATCCTGAAAAGGAAAAAAAGAAAAGATGTGTAGACAGTGTCAGGAAGAAGAAGAGGATGATAGACACATACTGAAGATATGTATAAAAACAAAAAGTGGAAAAAAGATAGAAGAAGTTCTAAGCCAAGATGCAAAAGAAATGAAAGTTTTAAGAAGTGTTGTTAGAATAAGAAAAAAAATTTTGAAGTTGGATGATTAAAGCTTTAAAGGTGAATACCAAAGAGGATCGAGATAAATTATAAAGGAAACTAATAAGAGATGCCAGAAAATTATTGAAACAGTGAGAAGAAGAAGGAATTAAGAAAGAGAGGAAAGAGAAGAAAGTGAAAAGTGGTGAAAAGTGGTGAAAAGTGAAAAGTAAGAAAAGGTGGTGAAAAAAATGACTGAAATAAACAATGTAAACAGTGGTATTAAATCGTCTTGTTTTTATAAAAAAAAAAAAATTGTATTTGTACATTTGTTTATAATACTCTGAAAATTTTAGTTATTCAATTTAATTTAATTTTGTATATCATAATTTTATTACATTTTATTTTGTTTACAATAATAAAAAAAATGAACATTGAATAGTATTAATAATATAAATGATGCAAAGTTGTAAGAATTGGAAGGAAAGCCCTCCAGATCTGAAAGGGACAAAAGTATGTAATAAATAAAATGAATAAACATAATAAGAAATGAATGAGCTCTTACAAACGACATCCAAACAAACTACCTTCTAGACTTTTTATCTAGTAAATAAATAATTTTAATCAGGGACTTCGATTGAACTTAAAAAATAAACATAAACTTCTATGGGTATATATATACTAATTAATATTATACACGAACCTTCACAATGCCCCCACAAAAAAAAATGTTGCTTGCAAATGGCTACCCTACAAAATAAAGTTAAATTTTTTCGTTTTTTACGTAATTTTGCCGTAGTGGAAAAATTTGGTAGGCCCACATTTAGTCCCTCAATGCCGTCTAACATCATTATAACGTGCCACGCATCGTTATCAGTCTATTTTTCCAGGCCACCCGTGAGGCAAATGGACACACTTTACGCTTAAAAAATATTTATGCAACAAAGTCTATCAGTTATTAATTGAACGTATAAGTTATCTTAACGTATTGAATTAAATTCGTACATGTAGAATACATACAAATAATTCACATTTATGAACTGGAAAACTTAACAGCTTTTATTTAATTAGTGTTAAGTGTAGGCCACGTTCTACTTTTTTTTCTTTAGTATTATTTTAGTACTATGTAATTTTCAATTATCAAAACACATATTTTTATGACATAATAAAAATAAATGCATCATCTGAAAACTTACGTGATAACATAAATATTTTAAACCGTGGAAGTTCACCGAATATCGAAGGATTTTCTACTAAAATTTTTAGAAATTAATACATTTTTTTATGTGCAAAGTTTTTACCAGTATTTCACAAAAATTCAGATATAATTTTGATTTTTTTTAAAAAAACACAAACACTTAATAATTTATAGCAGGTTTCCTTTATTTTTCACAAAAATTCAAGTAGGGTTTCGATTTAAAGATTAAAAGTTTTGTTAAAGAAGCTTTAGATATTAGCCCTACGTAACCACAAAAAATAGAACTCCCCTCTCCGAATATTTTCAGAAATTTACAGTAATAAGGA